TCCAGGGAGTAGGCGCAGGTCTCCTACCTGACTTTGCCATACTCCCTTTTAGCCCCCCCCCAAGAAATTTTTGGGTAGCACCCACGGGCTTCCAGCCACGACTCCGTGCTGCCTCCTCATACCACCTCCTCTCGGCTTGAGCTGCCTCCAGCTCCTCACGAGGGCGGTGATATTCCTCCGGTTGTGCCCAAGGACCCTTTCCAGCCCGTATCTCCTCCCATGTCCATGAATCCTTTGGAGGCGTCCATAAATCCTGTGTAGGTAGGTCCTGTTGCCGCTTGTTACGCTGCTTGGTCCTCTTGTGGTGGGTTTTTCTGTCACGATCGTCTAAATCAGGAGACCAATGCGCAGCGTTGCGAGTGAACATGATGACTTTAATTAGAGTAAAGCACGTAAATACAAAACAAAAGACGAAAGTGAAGTCCAACAGAAACAATGCCTGAACTTGGAACAAAAACCCACAACCCACATGCGAACACAGACAGTTTAAATATGGCTCCCAATCAGAGATAACGAGCCGACAGCTGACACTCGTTACCTCCGATTGGGAGTCACACACTACAACAATCAACAACCTAGAAATAGACACACAGAACTCCCAACCTAGAAATAAACGTGACAGACATGCAAACATAAAAAATCACCCAAAACCCAACAAAACAACATACACCCTGGCTCAAATACACAAGTCCTGGAGCCAGAGTGTGACAGATAAGACTGGAATACCCCTGCTATAATGTATTTGTTTCACTAGCCCATTGTTGACATAGTCCCAGAATGTTTTGCGTGTCAGCAATCAAGTTTTCAAGATATGTCACTTTCAAAAAACAGATATCATACAATGATGATGCAATTTGCCTAATATGATGCAAAATGCAGCATCATATGATGCAAAATGCATCATACAGGGATGATTTCTGTATTTTGAAAGTTATTTATCTTACTAATAATAATATGTCATTTAGCAGACGCTTTTATCCAAAGCGACTTACAGTTATGTGTGCATACATTTTTACGTATGGGTGGTCCCGGGGATCGAACCCACTACCCTGGCGTTACAAGCGCCATGCTCTACCAATTGAGCTGACAAGCAAAACATTTTGGGACTATATCTATCTCTGATAAGCTACCAAGGAAAGGGCTGAAAATATCACACATTAATATATGTAGCCTTAGAAATAAGGTTCATAAAATCAATAACTTGCTAACATCAGATAACATGAATATATTAGCCATTTCTGAGACTCTATTCGATAATTAATTTGATAATACAGCAGTAGCAATACAAGAATATAACATCTATAGAATAGACAGGAATGCTTATGCGGGAGGTGTTGCTGTATATATTCAGAGCCATATCTCTGTAATGCTTAGAGAAGTGTTATTTAAGTGTTGTGGTTGCAGGTTCACCTGGCACATCTAAAACCTTTTCTTTTAGGGTGTTGTTATAGGTCACCAAGTGCTAACATTCAGTATCTAAATAATATGTGTGAAATGCTTCATAGTGTATGTGATGTACAGTTCAAGTCAGAAGTTTACATACACCTTAGCCAAATACATTTAAACTCAGTTTTTCACAATTCCTGACATTTACTCCTAGTAAAAATTCCCTGTCTTAGGTCATTTAGGATCACCACTTTGTTTTAAGAATGTGAAATGTCAGAATAATAGTAGAGAGAATGATTTATTTCAGCTTTATTTCTTTCATCACATTCCCAGTGGGTCAGAAGTTTACATACACTCAAATAGTATTTGGTAGCAGTGCCTTTAAATTGTTTAACTTGGGTCAATTGTTTCGGGTAGCCTTCCACAAGCTACCCACAATAAATTGGGTGAATTTTGGCCCATTCCTCCTGACAGAGCTGGTGTAATTGAATCAGGTTTGTAGGCCTCCTTGCTTGCACGCGCTTTTTCAGTTCTGCCCACAAATGTTCTATAGGATTGCGGTCAGGGCTTTGTGATGGCCACTCCAATACCTTGACTTTGTTGTCCTTAAGCCGTTTTGCCACAACTTTGGAAGTATGCTTGGGGTCATTGTCCATTTGGAAGACCCATTTGCGACCAAGCTTTACCTTCCTGACTGATGTCTTGAGATGTTACTTCAATATATCCACATAATTTTCCTTGCTCATGATGCCATCTATTTTGTGAAGCGCACCAGACCCTCCTGCAGCAAAGCAGCCTGATGCTGCCACCCCTGTGCTTCACGGTTGGGATGGTGTTCTTCGGCTTGCAAGCCACCCTCTTTTCCTCCAAACATAACGATGGTCATTACAGTTCTATTTTTGTTTCATCAGACCAGAGGACATTTCTCCAAAATGTACGATCTTTGTCCCATGTGCAGTTGTAAACCGTAGTCTGGCTTTTTTTATGGCGGTTTTGGAGCAGTGGCTTCTTCCTTGCTGAGCGGCCTCTCAGGTTATGTTGATATAGGAATCGTTTTACTGTGGATATAGATACTTTTGTACCTGTTTCCTCCAGCATCTTCACAAGGTCCTTTGTTGTTGTTCTGGGATTGATTTGCACTTTTCGCACCAAAGTACGTTAATCTCTAGGAGACAGAACACGTCTCCTTCCTGAGCGGTATGATGGCTGCATGGTCCCATGGTGTTTATACTTGCGTACTATTGTTTGTACAGATGAACGTGGTACCTTAAGACATTTGGAAATTGCTCTCAAGGATGAACCTGACTTGTGGAGGTCTACAATTTTTTTTGAGGTCTTGGCTGATTTATTTTTATTTTCCCATGATGTCAAGCAAAGAGGCACTTTGCAGTTTGAAGGTAGGCCTTGAAATACATCCACAGGTACACCTCCAATTGACTCAAATGATGTCAATTAGCCTATCAGAAGCTTCTAAAGCCATGACATCATTTTCTGGAATTTTCCAAGCTGTTTAAAGGCATAGTGAACTTAGTGTATATAAACCCACTGGAATTGTGATACAGTGAATTATAAGTGAAATAATCTGTTTGTAAACAATTGTTGGAAAAATTACTTGTGTCATGCACAAAGTAGATGTCCTAACTGACTTGCCAAAACTATAGTTTGTTAACAAGAAATGTGTGGATTGTTTGAAAAACAAGTTTTAATGACTCCAACCTAAGTGTATGTAAATTTCCAACTGTAAACAGAGAGGTCTACTTTCTTGTGGAGCTGAATATTGACTGATTTTTATCAAGCTGTCCACTCAAGAAGAAGGTTCTCACTGTAACCATTGCCGGTAATCTGGTTCAGGTTATTAATCAACCTACAAACAGTACAGAAACAACATCATCCATATGTATTGATCACATTTTTACTAATACTGTAGAACTTTGTTCTAAAGCTGTATCCGTACCCATTGGATGCAATGATCAAAATATAGTGACTACATACAGGAAAGCCAAAGTTCCAAATGCTCTTATGCGGATGATGTAAAAAAAAATATATGTTAGTCTGATGTGATTAATAAGGAGCATCCAGATGCTGCACTTGATGAATTTATGAAATTGCTTCTTCCAATTATTGATAAACATGTACCTGTTAATAAACTGACTGTTAGAACTGTTAAGGCTCCATGGATTGAGGAGGAAATCAAAAACTGTATTGTTGAAAGAGATGGGGCAAAAGGAGTGGCTAACAAGTCTGGCTGCACATCTGACTGGCTGGCGTACTGCAAATTGAGAAATTATGTGACTAAACTCAACAAAAAGAAGAAGAAACTGTATTATGAAGCCAAGATTAATGATATAATGAATGATGGAGAAAAAAAACTTTGGAGTACTTTAAGTAAAATGATGGGCAGAAAGACAAATTCAACTCCATCTTTCATTGAGTCAGATGGCTTATTCATCACAAAACCATTTGATGTTGTCAATTATTTTAATGATGACTTTATTGTCAAAGTGGGAAAACTTTGGCAGGAAATGCCAACAATGAACCATCGTACTCATGCATAAAAAAACTAATAATGAAAGAAAAGCATTGTATGTGTGAATTTTGTAAAGTTAAAGTGGGAGAGGTGAACAAATTATTTTATCAATCAATAATGACAATGGTAGCTGACTCTATAGCCACTTCTATCTGTCATACAGTATCTTTAATCTGAGCCTAGAGGAAAGTCTTTGTCCTCAGGCCTGGAGGGAAGCCAAAGTCATTCCTCTACCCAAGAGTGGTAAAGTGGCATTTGCTTATTCTAACAGCAGACCTATCAGCTTGCTGCCAGCTCTTAGCAAACTGTTGGGAAACATGGTGTTTGACCAAATAGAATGCCATTTCTCTGTAAGCAAATTAACAACAGACTTTGAGCATACTTATAGAGAAGGGCACTCAACATGTACTGCACTGACACACATGACTGATGATTGGCTGAAATAAATGGCTAATAAGAAGATTGTGAAGCTGTACTGTTAGATTTCAGTGCAGCCTTTGATATTATTGACCATAACCTGTTGTTGAGAAAACATACAGTCCCAGTCAAAAGTTTGGACACACCTACTCATTCCAGGGTTTTTCTTTATTTGTACTATTTTCTACATTGTAGAATAATAGTGAACACATCAAAACTATGAAATAACACATATGGAATCATGTAGTAACCAAAAAAGTGTTGAACAAATCAAAATATATTTTATATTTGAGATTCTTCAAATAGCCGCCTTGATGACAGCTTTGCACAGTCTTGGCATTTACTCTAACACAGGAGTTCCTCGAAGACCCTTTACAGAGGGGTTCATCAAGGACCTTTTTGAGCTGGAAAGGTTCTGCCGGTGTGGCAATTTCTAGAACCCTAAAAGGTTCTTCCAGTCACCTTTAATTCTAAGAGTGTAGGGCAGACACTTCAGGATGGTTATGATGGTTACGGAGACCTTTTGTGGTTCAGTCCACCCATAAACAGACATTCATTACAGGATGTTATACTGCACACCAGTCAAACAGACATAAAGTGTGGATGTGTGAGTGTGTGTGCATGTGCGTATGCATGTGTTGGTGTCTTATTTATTGTCATCTCTCACCAGATCGACTGGGCCAGCTCTGAGTCGCAGGTAGAAGATTGTATGATGAAGGGTAGAGAGAAGGTAACAGAATCTGCTCATTCTACATATACATCTGGCATAGTTTACCCTACATATAGGCCGTGTCCGATATCTGTCTGGCTTACTACTTACTAATACTACATACTGTGTGCTATTCATACTACATACTATTTAGAATGTACTGTTTAGTAAAAATCTATGCAGTAACAACAAATATCAAAATACTAGGCTCCCTCATACTGAGAATACACCATCTACTGAGCAATTTAGTTGTTTGCCGCCATTTGCACATTTTGGTACAGCACAGCCTCATATGATTATTAGCTGATTATCTGCTGTTTTAAACACGTGGTTCTGAAAAGACGATTCTCTTCCTCAATAGCATGAAAGGAATTTGTACTAGTTAAAAGGCAGAAATGAGTTTACATCCTTGCATTTAAAGCATATTCATTAAAAAAATATATATATATATAATGACATACTGAACTATAAAATGTTCTATTTTCGCATCCCTAATCAGCCTACAATTTAAAATGCAAGCAAGGATATTCAGACACGGCCATACACTTCTGGTTAACTACCTACCTAACCTCCCCTCTATCTCTCCCTCTCTCCCCCCCTAACTCCTCCCTTTCTCCCCCCCCCCCCCCCCCCCCCCCCCCCCCCCCCCTACAGCCAGAGTGTGCTAACTACATCAAGGTGTTGCAGCAGTTTAACACAACCCACCTGTTGGCCTGTGGAACAGGAGCATTTAACCCTCTCTGTGTCACCATCAGGGTGGGACACACAGGACAGGTGAGCAGGATTGGGATTTTTGCCTTGGATTTATTGCAAATAAGGCTGAAATGCAAACATATAGAAGGACATACTGCTGGTTTGGCTCAGTCTCATCATCTGTTCTTTAGACACAGGCAGCCTCAACACATCCAATGGTCAATTTGTGTTTCCTCAGAGAGACAGGGAGTTTGTTTATTCATCTGAAGGAGATACACACAGATACACAAGGAGTGACATTATTGACGTTTGTGTGTCCTTTGAGAGAGAAAGGGAGAAGAAGAGAAAGAGGAAGTTGGTACTGATAGTTTGTTTGTGTCCTCTTAGAGAGAGGGAGTGTGTTTGTCTGGACTGTGAGTTAGTTTAATTTATATCATCCACTGTCTGTCTGAGAGGACCTGTGACAACAGCACCAGCAGGGAAAACAAACCAGTCTCCCACAAGACTTCAGTCAGAATAAAGAACAGAACATGCTATGGCTAAGGTCAAGCTCAGGGATGTCTGTGTGTCACTACACCAAATACCCCTGTTTCATACCTCTAATTATCCGTACACATCTGACGACTCCACTAAAGACTTGTATCTGTGATGACTCAAAAGCAGATTTATCTTGTGACTGTTTGATAATGGTAACACAGGGGTGGCAATAGTCAATAGGGACTAGCAATCCGGACTGCCACTGTGTCCAGCCTGAGACCCCCCCCCCCCCCGCTTGCTGAGAGGTGCTACTACTAACGGTAGCTAGATGATGGAACATATCGTGAAACTCATACCTCACCATTGTCAAAGCCCCCCACCCCCCACCCTCCTGTGCGCAAGTGCGAGCGAGCGTGTGTGTGTATTCTCAATGATACCTGTTGGTCCCCAGGCCAGGCATTTTGAGCTGGAGGAGCAGAGTGTAGAAAGTGGCAGAGGGAGATGTCCCTACGACCAAAACAGCCCCGTTACCTCCACCCTGGACAGTAAGAACACAACACACTACAAGACATTATCACTTCTGTTCTGTTGTTTCATAATATGTTATTTTCTCAATATCTCTCTGTCTCAGGCACACTTAACCCTAACCCTTTTAGATTACTGATACTCTAGTAGAATTGCTGTTACTGAGTATATTATATCATCCACTGTCTGTCTGAAAAACTTTGCTCTGATGAAATATCTGGTTTATTATGCTTCTCTGTATGTGTGTGTGTGTGTGTGTGTGTGTATGTGTGTCTGTGTGTGTGTGTGTTAGGAGGAGAGCTGTATATTGGCCTGTATACAGACTACTGGGAAAATGATGCAGCTCTGTGTCGACTGAACAACCAGAGCTACACACGCACTGAGAGAGACAACAGACAACAGCTCAACGGTCAGTGACCAGGAATTTATGGTTCTCTCATTATTACCTTCTGTTTGATCTCTGCACCTCACCCACACTTAGTGCCTTCAGAAAGTATTCGTACATCTTGACTTCTTTCACATTTTGTTGTGTTACAGCCTGAATTCACAATAGTTCAATATGTTTATTTCTCACCCATCTACACACAATACCCCATAATGACAAAGTGAAAACATGTTTTTAGACATTTGGTTGCTCTAATAATTCAACCTTGAGTATCTGAAGTCGCAGTGTCTATGGATAATCATTCTTTACTCCGGCCTCACATCTGGTGACAGCGGTGGTTCTTTCAAGACTGGAAGCTAACGAACTCCGCCGGCTTTTGGACTATCCTAACTGCATGTGGAGCTGATTCGGAGCTACTGACTATCTAGCTTGTTTCCCGACCTGGTTGGTGGTTCTGTGCTAAAGAGGTTTATCGTGAGTGCCATCAGCAATGCTTATGACTGCAGGACTTCAACATTGGTAACTGTGACTACTTCAAGCAACGTGGGACCCTTGTGGCTGTATTTTGTCTGGCAATGATCATATTGAAAAGGATTATTCCTCTTATGTTGGACATTGTTTCCCCATTGTCCACGTGCTATCTTTGCTAGATAATGTTAGGTAACCCTCTTTGTGTGTTAGCTAGCTAGCTGGCTAGATAGTAGCTAGCTTTACCTCACCTGTTCTGGACAGGTGTACTGAGTATACGAAGACGCAGGATGCAGATGCAGGAATTAACAAGGTCAAGGTTTATTTAACAATGACAAAGAGAAATAACAAAGAGTAAATGACACGAAGCTAAACAATCACACACAACATCATACAGAACAGTCCAGGGCTAAATAGGGGTGGTGATGAGATGAGGTGCTGGTGCTGGTGCGCTGGAGGTGATTAGGCTGTGTTGGGTTTCCATTCCGGTGTTGCCGAGGTGGTGCGCTCAGACCGGTGGCTCAGTAGACCGGCGAATCAGAGCGCCGGAGGGGAGCAACGGGAGGAGATGTGACAGCCGCTGGACATCGCCGGCCAGGAGGACGAGGAGCGGGCCGGTCAGGGCGGCGACGGTGGAAGTCCTGAATTAGGTTGTGGTCCAGCACGTCCCCAGCCGGAACCCAGCTCCTCTCCTCAGGACCATACCTCTCCCAGTCAGAGGACCAGGATCCACCGGCCTGAGGAGAGACATGAAAAGTGGGTGAGACACGGTAGTGAGGGGGAAGGAGCAGCCGGTACGATACCTTATTTATCTGCGGAGGACCTTAAACGGCCCCACAAACTGGGGGCTCCGTTTTTTGCAGGGCAGGCGGAGGGGGAGGTTTTTTGTGGACAGCCAGACACGATCCCCAGGCTGGAATACAGGGGCCTCACTGCGGTGGCGGTCGGCTTGCCGACGAATGGCCCTCTGGAGATGGACATGGGCGGCGTCCCAGATCGGTCCGGCCCTGTGGAACCACTCGTTGACAGCGGGCACATTGGTCTGGCTGGGTGTCCAAGGGGCCAGGGCCGGCTGGTACCCCAGGACGCACTGGAAGGGAGTGAGCCCCGTGGAGGAGTGAACGAGAGAGTTCTGGGCATATTCTGCCAAGGGAAGAAACCTCGCCCACTCATCCTGCCGGTCCTGACAGTGGCAACAAAGAAACCTCCCCAGCTCCTGGTTCATGCACTCCACCTGCCCATTCGACTGAGGCCTATACCCGGAAGTGAGGCTGGCTGTGGCACCGATCTTCTCCAGGAAAGCCTTCCACACTCGGGAGGTGAATTGGGGGCCACGGTCCGAGACGATGTCCTGCGGAAGTCCATAATGCCGGAAGACCTGTTGGAACAGGACCTCAGTGACCTGTAGAGCAGAATGAAGACCAGTTAGTGGCAAAAACGGCATGATTTGGAGAACCTACAGTGGGGAGAACAAGTATTTGATACACTGCCGATTTTGCAGGTTTTCCTACTTACCAAGCATGTAGAGGTCTGTAATTCTTATCATAGGTACACTTCAACTGTGAGAGACGCAATCTAAAACAAAAATCCAGAAAATCACATTGTATGATTTTTAAGTAATTAATTTGCATTTTATTGCATGACATAAGTATTTGATACATCAGAAAAGCAGAACTTAATATTTGGTACAGAAACCTTTGTTTGCAATTACAGAGATCATACGTTTCCTGTAGGTCTTGACCAGGTTTGCACACACTGCAGCAGGGATTTTGGCCCACTCCTCCATACAGACCTTCTCCAGATCCTTCAGGTTTCGGGGCTGTCGCTGGGCAATACGGACTTTCAGCTCCCTCCAAAGATTTTCTATAGGGTTCAGGTCTGGAGACTGGCTAGGCCACTCCAGGACATTGAGATGCTTCTTACGGAGCCACTCCTTAGTTGCCTTGGCTGTGTGTTTCGGGTCGTTGTCATGCTGGAAGACCCAGCCACGACCCATCTTCAATGCTCTTACTGAGGGAAGGAGGTTGTTGGCCAAGATCTCGCGATACATGGCCCCATCCATCCTCCCCTCAATACGGTGCAGTCGTCCTGTCCCCTTTGCAGAAAAGCATCCCCAAAGAATGATGTTTCCACCTCCATGCTTCATAGTTGGGATGGTGTTCTTGGGGTTGTACTCATCCTTCTTCTTCCTCCAAACACGGCGTGTGGAGTTTAGACCAAAAAGCTCTATTTTTGTCTCATCAGACCACATGACCTTCTCCCATTCCTCCTCTGGATCATCCAGATGGTCATTGGCAAACTTCAGACGGGCCTGGACATGCGCTGGCTTGAGCAGGGGGAACTTGCGTGCGCTGCAGGATTTTAATCCATGATGGCGTAGTGTGTTACTAATGGTTTTCTTTGAGACTGTGGTCCCAGCTCTCTTCAGGTCATTGACCAGGTCCTGTCGTGTAGTTCTGGGCTGATCCCTCACCTTCCTCATGATCATTGATGCCCTACGAGGTGAGAACTTGCATGGAGCCCCAGACCGAGGGTGATTGACCGTCACCTTGAACTTCTTCAATTTTCTAATAATTGTGCCAACAGTTGTTGCCTTCTCACCAAGCTGCTTGCCTATTGTCCTGTAGCCCATCCCAGCCTTGTGCAGGTCAACAATTTTATCCCTGATGTCCTTACACAGCTCTCTGGTCTTGGCCATTGTGGAGAGGTTGGAGTCTGTTTGATTGAGTGTGTGGAAAGGTGTCTTTTATACAGGTAACGAGTTCAAACAGGTGCAGTTAATACAGGTAATGAGTGGAGAACAGGAGGGCTTCTTAAAGAAAAACTAACAGGTCTGTGAGAGCCGGAATTCTTACTGGTTGGTAGGTGATCAAATACTTATGTCATGCAATAAAATGCAAATTAATTACTTAAAAATCATACAATATGATTTTCTGCATTTTTGTTTTAGATTCCGTCTCTCACAGTTGAAGTGTACCTATGATAAAAATTACAGACCTCTACATGCTTTGTAAGTAGGAAAACCTGCAAAATCGGCAGTGTATCAAATACTTGTTCTCCCCACTGTATCTACGACCACCATGACTGTGGTGAAGCCGTCAGAACATGGAAGGTCGGTGACAAAGTCTATGGACAGGTGTGACCAAGGTCGATGAGGCACTGGGAGAGGAACTAGTTTGCCTGCCAGGGCATTCCGAGGTGTCTTCGTTTGGGCACATACGGAACAGGAGTTGACATGGCAGGAGACATCAGAAGCCAAGGTGGGCCACCAGTATTTTTGGGCTAGAGAATGCAGGGTGCACGTAATACCAGAGTTCCATGCCGTAAGGGTAGTTTGCGCCCAGATCAGAAGGCGGTCACGGACACTGGTGGGTACATACACGTGCCCGGAGGGGCTTTGGTAGGCGCTGGGTCCTCCTGAGCCACCAGGCGGATGTCTTCATCCACATCCCAAACGACAGGTGCAACAATGAGAGACGAGGGCAGGATAAGACCCCCCAGATCCTTCCTTTCTCCGGTATGGTGCATCCTGGAGAGTGTGTCGGCCTTCACATTCTGGAATCCTGGGCGGTAGGAAAGAATGAATTTGAAGCGAGTGAGAAATTGGTCCCACCTGGCTTGACGAGATTTCATCCGTTTCGCTGCCCATATGTGCTCCAAATTCCGGTGGTCAGTAAGAATCCAGAATGGATGGACTGCACCCTCCAGCCAATGTCTCCATTCCTCCAGAGCAAGGACCACCACCAACAGCTCCCTGTCTCCAACTCCATAGTTCCTCTCTGCAGGGGTAAGCTTTTTAGAGAAGGCACAGGGATACATTTTCTCTGGCTTACCGTGCCGCTGGGAGAGGACCGCACCCACGCCCTCCTCCGATGCATCCACCTCCAGGATGAAAGGATGAGATAGATCTGGGTGTTTTAGGATGGGCGCTGTGGTGAGCCTCTCCTTCAGCCTCTTGAAGGCAGCGTCAGCCTCAGGGTTCCAGGCCAGCTTCTGAGGCCCACCCTTAAGGAGAGAGGTGAGTGGGGCAGCTATGGAGCTGAAGGGCCTGATGAAATGCTGGTAGAAATTAACAAAGCCCAGGAAGCTCTGTAGGCGCTTGATGGTGGTGAGAACTGGCCATGACCTGACGGCGTCCGTCTTCACTCCTTCCATGAACACCCCCTGAGGACTGATCCAGTATCCCAGGAAGGAGATGGCCTGTTGGTGGAATTCGCATTTCTCCCCCTTTACCAACAGGCGGAGTAGGACAGCTTGGACGTCCCTGACGTGCTCCTCGAACGTAGCCGAGTAGATCAGGATATCGTCGATATACACCACCACCTGTCTACTCAGCATGTCCTGGAACACGTCATTGATGAAGGACTGGAACACAGAAGGTGCGTTGGCGAGGCCGTAGGGTTTGACGCAGTATTCATATGGCCTGAGGTAGTGCCTAATGCTGTCTTCCACTCATCTCCTTCCCGTATTCGGATCAGGTTGTAGGCACTCCTCAGGTCCAACTTGGTAAATTACCGGGCCCCACGTAGCTGCTCGATGGCCGACGAAACCAGAGGGAGGGGGTACCGGTACTTGGTGGTGACTGCGTTCAGCCCCCTGTAGTCAATGCATGGTCTCAGTACTCCGTCTTCTTTGGCCACGAAGAAGAAGCTGGCGGAGGCAGGAGAGGTAGAGCGTTTGATGAACCCCTGTTTCAGGGTGTCCGCCACATACTTCTCCATGGCCTCAGTCTCCGCCATGGAAAGGGGGTAAATGCGACTCTTCGGGGAGTGTTGTCCCTCCGGCAGGTCAATGGCGCAGTCCCAGGGCCTGTGAGGAGGGAGACACGTAGCCTTTAATGAAGAGAAGACATCGGAGAGATCTGCGTACTCATGTGTAATGTTGGGCTGGAGGGCGGACTCGGGACTCTCCACTAATGTGAAACAACAAACCACTGGCAGGCAGGTCTTCTGGCATGAGGTGGCCAGACTGTGATCCTCTTGGTGCTCCAATTGATGGTGGGGTTGTGTAGTCTGAGCCAGGGCAATCCCAAGACCACCCGGTGAAGGGGTGATGTGACGATGTGGAATGACAGCTCCTCGTGGTGCTCCGGTAGTGTGGGAATGGTGATGGTGATGGGGAGAGTGATGTGCGTAATGGTGCCTGACCAAAGGGGTTGATTGTCCAGTGACGTGACGTGTAGCGGAGATGGCAGTTGCACGGTGGGAAACCCCCATTCAGAGACCAGCTCCCTATCTATAAGGTTCCCCGCTGATCCGGAATCTATCATAGCAGTAGAAATGGAAGAGAAGGAATAACCAGTCACCGTTATGGGAACTAAAAACAATGGTTTTGTGATAGGAGCTGACGTAACACTCACGGAGCGGCGACGGGAGTCATACCGCCTAGATAGGGAGCCGCCAGGAGATCTGTGGTCCGTGGTGGTGTAGGGGGTGCTACCCACCTTCATGGGTGAGGACTCGGAAGCAGGGCGGCTTCCATAGCTCAGATGGCGTGAGCGTCAAGGCTCCGGGAGGTGTTGGGAACGTCGTCTCTCTCTCAACATGTCGTCAAGACATGAAAAAATAAAAATAAAAATAAATGTCAAAACAGATGGACGTAGTGATGAGGGTATCAAGGTCCATCTCATCATCCCGACATGCGAGTTCCATCTTGTAAGCCTCTCCTGAAGGCCGTGCGCAGAGCATGCTCATTCCAGCCAGAAGACACCGCCACCGTGCGAAAGCTCAGAGCATACTCGGACGCGGGCCCCTCTCTCTGTTGTAGATGGAGGAGACGCTCACCCCCGTCCTTTCCCTCCATGGGATGATCAAACACTGCCCTGAACCGAGCAAGGAAGATGGGGTAGGGTAGCGCCACTGCCTCCTCTCCTTCCCAGACTGCCGTGGCCCAATCCAGCACCTTTCCTTTAAGTAGCGAAATCACCAGCCATATCCTGGCTTGGTCAGATGGATATGCCCCAAGCTGACCCAGGAAGCTGCTACATTTAGTAGTTTTACCGTCATAGCGCTCCGGTAGGGCGAGGGTTCCCGCAGAAGTGGGTGATAGCACGGGAACAGGTGGATTGGGGGCACTCGCTGCTCCTGAGGTGGAACCGGAGCGCTGAGCAGATTATGCAGAGTTTGGAGCACTTCCTGCATGGCGGCGTTCAACTGGGCAAGCTGCTGCTGGTGCTGGTCGAGGCACTGGGAAGCTCCTGCTGCATCCATTTTCGTTTTGTGTGTAATTCTGTGACGAGTACAGATTATACGAAGAGGCAGGACGCAGACGCAGGAATTAACAAGGTCAAGGTTTACTTAACAATGACAAAGAGAAATAACAAAGATAAAGTAAACGACATAACGCTAAACAATCACACACAACATCATCCAGAACAGTCCAGGGCTAAATAGAAGTGGTGATGAGATGATGAGGTGCAGGTGCGCTGGAGGTGATTAGGGTGCGTTGGGTTTCCATTCCGGTGTTGCCAAGGTGGTGCGCTCAGACCGGTGGCTCAGTAGAACGGCGAATCAGAGCGCCGGAGGGGAGCAACAGGAGGAGACGTGACAACAGGAGGAGCTCGTACGTGCGGAGTGCATTTTTTTCTCTCTCTCTCTGTCATCTCTGCACTTGTACATGTACTGTACATACTTTCCCCCCCATTGTGTGCTGCTGAGGCTGTGGGTGACTCAGGCACATTGTGGGACTAGCTATCTGTGGATGGTGTCGTTTGGGGAAAGGAAGAGATCGAAGAGGAGACATTCGGCGGCGCAGGCTTGGCCAGTGATCAGGGATGAATGGCTTCAAAAAGAAAAGGAAAGCCGCAAACTCTAGGAGCTCAGATGCAATAATTTAATATCTTAATAACCAACGTTTCGACAGACAAGCTGTCTTCATCAGGGTATAATGACAAACACTGCGGGTCACTGGTTTATATAGTGTGAAAGGACACACGCAGGTGTCTGTAATCATGGCCGGGTGTGGCCTAATAGCATTGGCCAATTCACAGATAAAAACAACATACAAAAAACATGGATAGCATATGATCATAGATACTTAGCTACATAGGCCCACAACATTTGCAATGAATAGCAAAATCACAAGAATGGCTTCAAATCAAAGTCTACGTTGAGACCGAAGGGAGCAAGGGTCTTTAAATGAAAGATCCAGGCAGCCTCTCGTTTTAACAATAAGTTGTCGAGGTCAACCCCTCTCCTAGGGAGGGTGACATGTTCGATGCCGATATAACGTAGGGAAGAAATCGAGTGGTTCGATTCCAAAAAGTGGGCAGCGACTGGGTATGTCGAGTTTTGGCACCTAATGGTGCTACGATGCTCTGAGATTCGTACTTTTAATTCGCGCTTTGTTTTACCCACATAATTTTTACCACAAGGACAAGTTATAAGATAAATAACTGCCTTAGTGGAGCACGTAATAACACCTTTGATTGGGATCTGTTTCCCTGTTTGGGGGTGTTGGCAACACGGGATGAATGGCAACACGTCACAACATGGGCCTACCAACAACATCCAGTCCACCTGAACTACTAGTCATCATTCAGTCATTGAGTGGGCATGGACCTGAAGGAACACACACACTAGCTTAAAAAAAAGAAAGAAAGAAGAGAATTTCGGACTGTTGTGTTACTTTCTGTGAATATTCTAGTCAGGCCTATATGTAATCTAAATGTTGGAGCTATATTGTTGCATGTTGCATGTTGCATTTAGATAGACTCTACATCTTGTAATTTTAAAATGTGGACGTTTCTTTTGCAAAGGGGGGAGTACTGTGAGACCGTAATTGGAGGACTTTCATTTTTATAACCGATGCTGGGGCTCTGGGGTATAAAGAGCAGGGGTTGCTGGGATAGCTATAGTTTAGAGTTTGGTGCCAAGCCAGGTGCCAGCTCTCAGCTCATATTTTTTATCCTTTATGTAATTTGTCCCCTGAAGTTGTGTGGTTGCTCTAATAATTAAACCTTGAGTCATATCTGAAGTCGCAATGTCCATGGATAATCATGCTTTACCCTGGCCTTACACTAGTTAGCATTGGCTCACAAAACGACCTTTAACTTCCATCATACTGCACACAGAGACATAAAAATGCTATCCATACGAGTTCATCTGATTCTGGGTAAGTAGAAAAATGGCTTAGTTGCCAGAATCTTGCAGCATCCCTATAAAGGGATACATTAGTATTTTTGCAATGAAGCCCTTTATCTACTTCCCCAGAGTCAGATTAACTTGTGGATACCAGTTTTATGTCTCTGCATACAGTTTGAAGGAAGCTGCTATCTATCGTTAGCGTAATTGCTAACTAGCGTTACCGCAATGACTGGAAGTCTATTGTAACAGATAGCATGCCAGTAGATACCATAGACTACCAGTCATTGCACTAACGCTAGTTAGCATTGCCTTGCGAAACTACCTCTAGCTTCCTTATATGGGATGCAGATACATAAACATTGTATCCATGAGTTCATCTGACTTTGGGGAAGTAGATAAAGGGCTTCATTGCCAAAATCCCCAAATATCCCTTTAAAGTAACACAAGTATTTGCAAGAATATTAATAACAGTGCCTTTTTACATGTTATACTGTATATGATCTCTACATAAATGTAGAAGTATGTGATATTTTCCTGGCAGCACAGTGAACTTTGTAATCCTGCAGTCACATTCTCTTTCTGAAACTGTCATGTTTCCTCCAGAGCCTAAGTTCATTGGGTCGGTGGTGATTCCTGATAACGATGACAGGGATGATGACAAGGTCTACTTCTTCTTCACGGAGAGAGGGATGGACCCAGAGGGAGTTGACAAGGCTGTTTACACCCGGGTGGGACGGGTCTGTGCGGTGAGAACGGCACAAATGCTCTGTTCTATCATGAATGCCAGCATATCCATACACTGTATCATGCCTTCCCTTCCTTTGCCTCCTTCTAACTCTATTCTATGTTATTCTCTCTCCCCCTCTCCTCTCCTCTACCCCCACCCTCTATCCCCTCCCTTCAGAATGACCAAGGAGGTCAGAGGATGTTGGTGAATCGTTGGAGCTCCTTCCTAAAGACCCGTCTCATCTGCTCTGTGGCTGGACCCAACGGCATCGACACACACTTCGACGAGCTGGGTACGGCTGTGTGTGTTCCTGTGTGTGTGTGTCCGAGAGAAGGGGATACACCTATAGTACTTTCACTTGATGGAACCCTAAATCTCTCTCTCTTTCTCTCTCCCATGTGTGTTTCATTTCAGAGGATGTATTTGTGTTGAAGAACAAGAATGAGAAGAATCCAGAGATATTTGGCCTCTTCAGTACTACAAGGTCTGCCGAGAGAGTCACACTTAAACAGTTTAATTTTTTCAAAAGATTAACTGGTATATTGTATTGAATATCTTCTCTCTCTCTCTCTCTCTACACCCCTCCCATCCACAGTGCTGTGTTCCAGGGCTATGCAGTATGTGTGTACCACATGGATGTTGTGCGAGCAGCGTTCAACGGCCAATTTGCACACCGTGAAAGACCAGAGCACCACTGGACCCCCTACGAAGGCCGGGTCCCCTACCCACGCCCCGGATCTGTGAGTCACAAGCTACAGCTACATCATCTACTGACTTATCAATAGGCCCTAAACTACCTGATTGGCTCTCCATACCCAATAAGTAAGTATCCATTCACTGCATAGATGGTGCAACACAAGAAAATGGTAGTTTAGGAATTTGCTTAAGAGTTGCACCTACATTACAGCAAACTCCATACTGTATATCCAAACAATACACTTTCAACAATGTCTTTCAAAAATGTGATATTCCAGCAGCAGCAGCATTGTACATTTACAGCACTCCCCTTATGTATGTGTCTGTGGCAGCTGCCCTTTGCAGAGAAAGAGTGTTACAGGTCGTTGCAGAACATTTCCTGTGAATGTCAGAGCTACTGTAGCTGTCTCCGCAGGTCACATCAGAGAAGAGGACAATCAGTGCTATCATTATACTGCAACATACAGCTTCAATAGTAATCTTTCGAGTCTTTGACCGTGTAATGCTATTTTCTTATTCCTATGTTTCTTCTCCCCCCTCACTCTTCCGCTCTCTCTCTCTTTCTCCCTCTCATTCTCTTTTCCTTCCTCTCTCTCTCTCCAGTGTGCTAGTAAGGTGAACGGTGGTGGGTTCTCTGGTTCTAAGGAGTTCCCTGATGAGGTTCTGCGTTTCGTCCGTTCCTACCCCGTCATGTTCAGCCCGGTCCTCCCCCTCCACAAAAAACCTGTCCTACTGCAGACGGAGCCAGGAGGGAGGAGGCTAACCCAGATTGCTGTGGACCGTGTCCAGGCCCAGGACGGACACTACCACGTTCTGTACATAGGCACAGGTACGCTCACTGACACTACACTATGATCATCTGGTAGTGTTTATCACCAGGGTTATAGCTCCCTCAACTGGTCACATACAGCATTACAATCACAATCTACAGGAACATAAGACCGGCACTGACATCCCAAAACAAAGCCTTTGACTCTCTTCTATTTGGATGTCCTGGGTGGTTGTATTGGTGAAGGTGTGATATTTACATCAGTTAATACTCTCTCCCGTAGATGACTCTGTTGTGTTGAAAGTTATCACCATCTACAACAAAGATACAGACACCATAGAGGAAGTGCGACTGGAGGAACTGCAGGTGTTCAAGGTACTGTTGTTACTTTGCGCCACCATATGGCAAAAGATGGCGATTGCACAATTACACATTCTTGGCATTCGACAATTTGATTTGTTTGTGGAAGTTCAAAATGTTTTCATATTACTTATTTCTAGGTGCCTGTGCCAATAACTGAGATCATCATATCCGCAAAACGAGTATGAAAACTATTAACATGTTAAAATCTTAAGTTAATAACATCGTTACTAACATTATTTTGAAGCATGGTTGTTTAAAACTGCAGTATCTTCATCTAGCCACAAGATGACAGTGTATTGTATTGTATTGATTATCTGAATGTCAGGAAACGTAATGACAGTATGCAAAGCATTTTATGATCTTGATATTTACTAAAATGTGTACCTCCGTTAATTTTGGTACCTGTGTTGTTGTTTTCATAGCAACAGCTGTATGTGGGTTCTGAGGTGGGTGTGGCTCAGGTGAGGCTCCATCAATGTGACCTGTACGGGTCAGAGTGTGCCGACTGTTGCCTAGCCAGGGACCCTTACTGTGCCTGGGACGGACTCACCTGCTCACAATACTACCCTGCTGAGGTCTACACCAAGAAGTGAGACACAAACACACACCTCATACACAAAGACACAGGCATGTACAGTCACACACAGACACATGCACATGTGTACACACACACAGAGGTGCAGAGGCATCACATAGCATTCATTAGCACCTCATCCAGCACCTCTATCCTCCCTAATCCCCTTCTTCTTTCTCACTCTCCCTTCACTCTCTTCCCTTTGACGCCACTCTGTCCTTATCTCACTTTCCCAAATGGCCATCTAACACTCTCCTCCACTCCCCCTCTCTCTCTCTCAGCAGACGATTCAGACGACAGGATGTTCTCCATGGCAACGCTGTACAGCTGTGCAATGGGCTGCAGATTGATGGTCAGTCTGTGTGTGTGTGTTTGTGTGTGTGTGTGTGTGTGTGGGGGGGGGGGGGGGGGGGGGGGGGTATTGTTTCAGACAGCTTATAATTTTGAAGCTCAAGTCCATAAAAGCATTGACCTGTGGATGATAGAAAGTGATTACTCCTTCGCCAATGGCCTTTGGCCTGGCTGGGGTAACAGAAAGGTCACTGCTGAATTGTGTGTGTGTGTGTGTGTGTGTGTGTGTGTGTGTGTGTGTGTGTGTGTGTGTGTGTGTGTGTGTGTGTGTGTGTGTGTGTGTGTGTGTGTGTGTGTGTGTGTAGGGGAGAAGTACCAGGGTGCGGAGGAGAGGCAGGTGTATGGGGTAGAGAATAACAGTACTCTACTGGAGTGTACCCCTCCTTCTCTACAGGCCAGAGTTCTGTGGTACATACAGAGAGGTCCAGACAGAGAGGAGGTGAGACAGACATACATACATTCAGTGAGGGAAAAAAGTATTTGATCCCCTGCTGATTTTGTAAGTTTGCCCACTGACAAAGAAATTATCAGTCTATAATTTTAATGGTAGGTTTATTTGAACAGTGAGAGACAGAATAATAACAAAAAAAATCAGAAATGTCAAAAATGTTGATTTGCATTTTAATGAGGGAATAGGTATTTGACCCCCTCTCAATCAGAAAGATTTCTGGCTCCCAGGTGTCTTTTATACAGGTAACGAGCTGAGATTAGGAGCACACTCTTAAAGGGAGTGCCTGTCCACAGAAGCAATCAATCAGATTCCAAACTCTCCACTATGGCCAAGACCAAAGAGCTCTCCAAGGATGTCAGGGACAAGATTGTAGACCTACACAAGGCTGGAATGGGCTACAAGACCATCGACAAGCAGCTTGATGAGAAGGTGACAACAGTTGGTGCGATTAATCGCAAATGGAAGAAACACAAAAGAACTGTCAATCTCCCTCGGCCTGGGGCTCCATGCAAAATATCACCTCATGGAGTTGCAATGATCATGAGAATGGTGAGGAATCAGCCCAGAACTACACGGGAGAATCTTGTCAATGATCTCAAGGCAGCTGGGACCATAGTCACCAAGAAAACAATTGGTAACACACTACACCGTGAAAGACTGAAATCCTGCAGCGCCCGCAAGGTGAGATGTGTGTAAACCTTGTGGCCAACTACAAGAAACGTCTGACCTCTGTGATTGCCAACAAGGGTTTTGCCACCAAGTACTAAATCATATTTTGCAGAAGGGTCAAATACTTATTTCCCTCATTAAAATGCAAATAAATGTATAACATTTTTGACATGCGTTTTTCTGGATTTTTGTTTTGTTATTCTGTCTCTCACTGTTCAAATAAACCTACCATTAAAATTATAGACTGATCATGTCTTTGTCAGTGGGCAAACGTACAAAATCAGCAGGGGATCAAATACTTTTTTCCCTCACTGTACATACTGTACATACATGCACACCACTTTCCTCCTTTCTTCCTTCCATTCCCATCTCTTCTTACCTCCCCTCCCTCTTCTCTCCCTCCCCCCAGGTCAGAGGTGATGATAGTGTAGTCATGACGACCCACGGGCTGTTGTTCCTGATTGTGCGGAGCGGGGACGCTGGCATGTACGTGTGTCAGACGGTAGAACATGGCTATGTCCACACCGTACTGAGGGTCACGCTACATGTGCTGGGAGGGGAGAGGGTCAGTGCCCTGATACAGAGGACAGGGGAGGACGGAGAGGGAGAAGGGGAGACCACAGCAACCTCCTGTCACCTTCCCATAAATACCCATCCAGGCCTCCACCCTGGTTCCAACTCTGAACCCACTTCCATACTACCAGGAGCCCTACCAGGGTCCTCCCTAGCCCCTGCTCCAGCTCCAGCTCCAGGATCTACCTCCAGGCTGCCTGCCCTAGCCCCAGGCCCTACCTCCCGGCTTTGGTACAAGGAGTTCCTCCAGCTGATAGGATATTGGGATACCCAGCGGCTGGAGGAGTACTGTGAGAGGGTCTGGTGCTCAGAGAAGAGACGCAGGAAGACCAAACGTAGATACACCCAGCCACCGGGAAGAGGAGAGAGGAGGGCAAGGGGGAGGGGAGAGCCACACAGAACCCCCAGACACACCTTGGACACCTGAGAGGAGGGAGAGAGAGCGCAGAACAACCACACACACAATGGGCCAGTTTTCTTTTTTAGAGAATACTACTTCCAACGAAGCTAAAACATGACACTTTCTTTTTTAAGACTTTACCGTAATGTCTTCTTCCTTCTAGTAACCATATTACATATTATGTTATATTGTGTTTTTTCCTTTTCTTCTTTCTGGTGGAAACTTTGCCAATGGTGCAAATGTTGAGTGTCCATCAGAGCGAAGGCACGTAGAACAGTTGAACTGTTTGGAACGACGTGGCTTCTGACCTTAAGACCACAGTACGGACATAGTACAGAAGATTCACAGCCATGCCAGCTGAACCCACAGATAACGGACATTCAAACAGATTCCTCCGAAAATAAAACGTTTCTAGAGATACACTTGACCTGCTCGCGTTCAAAACCACTGGTTAGAAAATACACAACGTTACGGTAAATACATTATTTTTCTGGGTTCCTACTTTGAGTTTAGTAGTGGTTTAGAATTGATTAATTAAACTGGAAATGGTACTGTATTATTGTTTTACTGTATAGTTAGTAAAGTTGATGATGTACGCAAGTATTTTCTACTATACTTTGTCAGTTAGTTTGGTTTGACATGTCTGAGATTGAGAAGATCTAGATAAGTTGACATCATTGAATGATTACAGTAACGCAAAACTGTGTTTGCAGATCCGAGAATACCGCCCATAATAAATACCACTGAACTTAAAATTTGAAAACAATAATAATAGTTTTCAGAATGTACTATTGATGATGGAACAGGGATTATATAAAATTGAATAGATGTAACCCCTCAATAAAAGTTATAGATACTTGATCTGAGTCATTAGACATCTAATTACACTACCAGTCAAAAGTTTGGACACACCTACTCATTCAAGGGTTTTTATTTATTTTTACGTTTTTTTACATTGTAGAATAATAGTGAAGTGATCAAAACTATGAAATAACACATATGGAATCATGTAGTAACCAAAGAAGTGATAAACAAATCAATATATATTTTATATTTGAGATTCTTCAAATAGCCACCCTTTGCCTTGATGACATCTTTGCACACTCTTGGCATTCTCTCAACCACATTCATGAGGTAGTCACCTGGAATGCATTTCAATTAACAGGCGTGCCTTCTTAAAAGTTAATTTGTGGAATTTCTTTCCTTCTTAATGCGTTTGAGCCAATCAGTTGTGTTGTGACAAGGTAGGGGTGGTATACTGAAGATAACCCTATTTGGTAAAAGTCCAAGTCCATATTATGGCAAGAACAGCTCAAAAAAGCAAAGAGAAACAACAGTCCCCCCCCCCCCCCCCCCAAAAAAAAACCCCCATCAATCGCTATGATGAAACTGGCTCTCATGAGGACCGTCACAGGAATGGAAGACCTAGAGTTACCTCTGCTGCAGAGGATAAGTTCATTAGAGTTACCAGCCTCAGAAATTGCAGCCCGAATAAATACTTCACAGAGTTCAAGTAACCGACACATCTCAACATCAACTGTTCAGAGGAGACTGAGTGAATCATGCCTTCATGGTCGAATTTCTGCAAATAAACAACTACTAAAGGACACCAATAATAAGAAGAGACTTGCTTGGGCCAAGAAACACGAGCAATGGACATTAGACCGGTGGAAATTTGTCCTTTGGTCTGGAGTCCAAATTTGAGAATTTTGGTTTCAACCGCCGTGGCTTTGTGAGACGCGGTGTGGGTGACTGTCTGTGATTTATTTAGAATTCAAGGCACACTTAACCAGCATGGCTACCACAGCATTCTGCAGCAATACGCCGTGCCATCTGGTTTGTGCTTAGTGGGACTATCATTTGTTTTTCAACAGGACAATGACCCAACACACATCCAGGCTGTGTAAGGGCTATTTTACCAAGAAAGAGAGTGATGGAGTGCTGCATCAGATGACCTGGCCTCCACAATCCCCCGACCTCAACCCAATTGAGATGGTTTGGGATGAGTCGGACCACAGAGTGAAGGAAAAGCAGCCAACAAGTGATCAGCATATGTGGGATCTCCTTCAAGACTGTTTGAAAAGCATTCCAGGTAAAGCTGGTTGAGAGAATGCCAAGAGTGTGCAAAGCTGTCATCAAGGCAAATGGTGGCTTTTTGAAGAATCTCAAATATAAAATATTGTTGGATTTGTTTAACACTTTTTTGGTTACTACATGATTCCATATGTGATATTTCATAGTTTTGATGTCTTCACTTTTATTCTACAATGTAGAAAATAGTAAAATTAAAGAAAAACCCTGGAATGAGTAGCTGTGTCCAAACCTTTGACTGGTACTGTGTATCCACAGTGTATCTCAACAGATGCACTTTCTCTTCAATAAATGGCCAACTTAAATGTGAAGTGCAATCAACTGGCAGTTATAGAGTTGATTGATTAGTATTCATGTCAGCTGGCTATTTCTCTCTCTCTCTCTCTCTCTCTCTCTCTCTCTCTCTCTCTCTCTCTCTCTCTCTCTCTCTCTCTCTCTCTCTCTCTCTCTCTCTCTCTCTCTCTCTCTCTCTCTCTCTCTCTCTCTCTATCTCTCTCTTTCTCTCTCTCTGTATCTGCTGTCAGTAATGATGCTACAGATGGGGGTTCATAATAACCATAGCAGAAGACAATCTACCTCGCCGTATTTTCCCTCCCAAATAAGGAAGAACGCCACAGTGACCATCCAAGCATGTTATTGGCTAGACAGAGGAGCCTGTCTCATGAATATTCAAACCTATTTGAGGAAAGAAACCGTTTTATATTCTGACAGCATAACATTCATCAGGTTTCCATTACAAATCCTCTTTTATATGGAGTCTTTTTTGAAGTCTTTAAATTACATTATTCCTGCACTCATCATCCTAAATGTTCTCTGACTAAGAGTTTTAGCACTGAACAAAAATGTAATGAGCTGAAATATAAGATTCCAGACATTTTCCATACGCACAATTGCATTTTATCGATGGCAATTTGAATGCACAGAGATACCGTGACTAAATCCTGAGGCCCATTGACGTGCCATTCCTCCACCGCCATCACCTCATGTTTCAGCATGATAATGCACGGCCCCATGTTGCAATGATCTGCACACAATTCCTGGAAGCTGAAAATGACCCAGTTCTTCCATGGCCTGCATACTTACCAGACGATTACCCATTGAGCATGTTTGAGATGCTCTGGATCGACGTGTATGACAGTGTGTTCCAGTTGCCGCCAATATCCAGCAACTTTGCACAGCCATTGAAGAGGAATGGGACAACATTTCATAAGCCACAATCAACAGCCTGATCAACTTTATGCGAATTAGATGTGTAGCGCTGCATGAGGTAAATGGTGTTCACACCAGATACTTACTGGTTTTCTGATCCACACCCCAACTTTTTTTTAAACCGCCCTAGAGTTGATGTCCGCACCCATGCGGAAATCTAATTAGCATAATAAAAAAATCCCCATAAAAATCTGTCCTCCGATGTCTTACTTCCGCATCTGGTGAAAGGTGAGACATCCCGGAAATCTGTCTTCTCACAAAATCGTCTGTAGCGTCCAAATGGTTTGGCCTAAAAAATATTATGATGAGACTCTCATGAACCCAATGGTGTTCTCTGTTTTACACTACGGCCCCAACAAGGGTCTTGGGACTCGTCTAAAGTCGGTACAGCCGATCTGCCAACTTCTGTCTGTACCGTCTGAACAGTTTGGGCTACACACTAATATGACCCCTCATTTGCTGATTATTTCACTTATAATTCACTGTATCACAATTCCAGTGGGTCAGAAGTTTACATACACTAAGTTGACTGTGCCTTTAAACAGCTTAGAAAATTCCAGAAAACGATGTCATGGCTTTAGAAGCTTCTGATAGGCTAATTGACATAATTTGAGTCAATTGGAGGTGTACCTGTGGATGTATTTCAAGGCCTACCTTCATACTCAGTGCCTCTTTGCTTGACATCATGGGGAAATAAAAAGAAATCAGCCCAAAAATGGAAGACCTCCACAAGTCTGGTTCCTCCTTGGGAGCAATTTCCAAACGCCTGAAGGTACCATGTTCATCTGTACAAACAATAGTACGCAAGTATAAACACCATAGGACCACGCAGCCGTCATACCGCTCAGGAAGGAGATGCGTTCTGTCTCCAAGAGATGAACGTACTTTGGTGCGAAAAGTGCAAATAAATCCCAGAACAACAGCAAAGGACCTTGTGAAGATGCTGGAGGAAATAGGTACAAAAGTATCTATATCCACAGTAAAACAAGTCCTATATCGACATAACCTGAAAGGCCGCTCAGCTAGGAAGAAGCCACTGCTCCAAAACCACCATAAAAAAGACAGACTACGGTTTGCAACTGCACATGGGGACAAAAATCTTACTTTTTGGAGAAATGTCCTCCGGTCTGATGAAACAAAAATAGAACTGTTTGGCCATAATGACCATCGTTATGTTTGGAGGAAAAAGGGGGCCGCTTGCAAGCCGAAGAACACCATCCCAACCGTGAAGCACAGGGGTGGCAGCATCATGCTGTGGGGTTGCTTTGCTGCAGGAAGGACTGGTGCGCTTCACAAAATAGATGGCATCATGAGGAAGGAAAATAATGTGGATATATTGAAGCAACATCTCAAGACATCAGTCAGGAAGTTAAAGTTTGGTCGCAAATGGGTCTTCCAAATGGACAATGACCCCAAGCATTCTTCCAAAGTTGTGGCAAAATGGCATAAGGACAACAAAGTCAAGGTATTGGAGTGGCCATCACAAAGCCCTGACCTCAATCCTATAGAAAATGTGTGGGCAGAACTCAAAAAGCATGTGTGAGCAAGGAGGCCTACAAACCTGACTTAGTTACACCAGCTCTGTCAGGAGGAATGGGCCAAAATTCACCCAACTTATTGTGGGAAGCTTGTGGAAGGCTACCCGAAACGTTTGACCCAAGTTAAACAATTTAAAGGCAATGCTACCAAATACTAATTGAGTGTACTTCTGACCCACTGGGAATGTG